ATATATATATATACTGTGTATATATATATATATATATATATATATATATATATATATATATATATATATATATATATTAATAAAATAATTCATTTCTGTGCCAATAGCAGCAACAAACAGATTTCCCATAAAATCTTACAGGCCCTTTTGGCTGAGGAGAAACCACATTTACTATGGGAACATAATGGCCAAATAAAAAGCACATTAAATTATCAGAATGCAGTTAAATTGTCAGTAGGGATGCACCGATACCGATCTCCTGTACTCGTACTCGTTAAAATGCCCCGATACCAAACGCCGATACCACACAGCATGTGATAAGTGCCATATTCAGACAAAGAAACACCGACAACAGACAGCAGAATGGAGTTATTGGAGATTAAGGATGTCTACAAAGTATATGTATGCAATGAATATATAATGCTAAACATTCAGTATTAAAGCCTTTATAGCTGATGTGCACGAGCTGATAAACAAAGCACGCTGAGTGGACTGAGCGTGTGCGGCGGCGCAGATGCGCGAGCTTGTCGAGTGAATATACCTTTCTCACAGACAACACTGGAAAGCTTGCACAAGTTACTTAATGGTGAGAGAGAGAGAGAGAGAGAGAGAGAGAGAGAGAGAGAGAGAGAGAGCGCAATTCTGTTGTGTGATCTTTGATGTTCCCTCACTTAGCACGCGCATCATTTGGATTAAAACTAAATTGTAAAAATAAGACCATTTATAAGGGCATTCACTATAAACATAATTTATTTTCAACCTTAGGCATACACGACTCTCAGGCGAAAGTGAATCTAGCCTGTGTGAAATGCGCTAGGCTGTACTACGGTCCTCTCATTCTGCACCAGTACAAATACGTGCACCCGTTGCGTGCGTTTTGCTTGCTTGAGTGTTTCTGCATTATATGAGTGGCTTTGGAATAGGGATGCAACGATTATAGATTCTGTTGGTACGATTATTGTCTGAGGAATAATCACGGTTTTACGATTATGACGGTTATTATGCATTTATTCAGTTCCCAACATTACTAATGTATAAAATCACATGAACACTCTTTAGATATTAAAGTGTTATTTATTGCTGGCTTTTGAAACAGAAATAACACAGTAACCAACAATACAGCAAAAAATAATAATAAACAAAAGACAAACAAAAGTCCATCTCTCCCATTGGAATTAAAAAAACGTGACCTCTGCTCTGTAAACATCCATGACAGTATTTCCCTTTTGAAAATAACAAATGGAAATAGACCGCAAAAGTATTTAATGTTTTCAGTTTGTACAATCTTTACATTTCTTTTGGACCTGGGGTAGAGACTTTAGAAACATGGTGAAAAAAAACAGTTGGTTTTTACTTATGAATAATGCTACAACAGGGATAGTAAATAAAGTTAATGAAGTAGCCTATTATTAATATATGACTAATATTAACTTTATTTGACCCACAGGGAAAACTGTTACTAATGATGGAAATAAACTGAAATATTGTAATCAACTGTCATCCATACGTATTCATTTTAATAATCTTTATAATAATTCATATGATTTTACATGTGGCCTGAGAAAATTATGCCAATTATTTTGGTTTATGAGATCGGAGATCGCGCTGCGCACATGTACATACATTCAGGAGGACACAAACTTCTTGAGAATGCTGCCCCATGACTTTTATTAATAAAACAGATTAAATAGCCTACTGGAGAGATGCACAGACACAGGTAGGCTAATTCACACAGGCAACTGTCACCTCTCTCTCTCCCTCTCGAATAATTAATTCAAGTAGCTAAATGTTACAATTAATTAATTCAAATAAATGTGATCGTACCGCACTATTTCATCTCTTTCTGATCTGAAGCGAGCAGAATAACGAGCTAACGAGCTGTAGCTTCGCGTCAGGTGGTTCTTGCCTTCATGTCGTGCATAAAATCGTTCAATGTACAGCAAGCCGTGCATTATCCCTTATGTATTCGCTCTTTAGCAGCAGTTTTTTACAGCAATATTTAAATGACACCCTGGTCATTCTTGGCGTACCCAAAATGGTCCCACACTATCGACAGGCATTTCTCTGGTGAAATAAAGCTTCGCTGTTTGGTCCCTCTGTCAGTTCATCTAATGCATGTAGTAGCCTCCGTGCCTCTGATAAGCACGTCATTTTAAGCTGGTGCACCGCTAGTGTAACTTTTTTCGTTTTGCGCAAGCTGCTACAGTTCTGTTCCGTGTAACAAAAACACTTGGTTTAGCGGAACCTTTAATGATTAATTAACCGTGACGTTTTACAGCGCGGTTAATCGCTGCATCCCTACTTTGGAATATAAATCGCAGCACGTTTCAGATGAAAAAAATGTGACTTCTATTTCTGAAAATATCACAGTAAGGAGATTTATGACGAGTGGTTCCCTGCATTATTACAGCGCGTGATTACAGTACTAAGCCGCTGCAATGGAGCAGCTCTAATGCTATTAAATAAAAGATGCTGTACCATATCTTTACATTTCTTTTGGACCTGGGGTAGAGACTTTAGAAACATGGTGAAAAAAAACAGTTGGTTTTTACTTATGAATAATGCTACAACAGGGATAGTAAATAAAGTTAATGAAGTAGCCTATTATTAATATATGACTAATATTAACTTTATTTGACCCACAGGGAAAACTGTTACTAATGATGGAAATAAACTGAAATATTGTAATCAACTGTCATCCATACGTATTCATTTTAATAATCTTTATAATAATTCATATGATTTTACATGTGGCCTGAGAAAATTATGCCAATTATTTTGGTTTATGAGATCGGAGATCGCGCTGCGCACATGTACATACATTCAGGAGGACACAAACTTCTTGAGAATGCTGCCCCATGACTTTTATTAATAAAACAGATTAAATAGCCTACTGGAGAGATGCACAGACACAGGTAGGCTAATTCACACAGGCAACTGTCACCTCTCTCTCTCTCTCTCGAATAATTAATTCAAGTAGCTAAATGTTATAATTAATTAATTCAAATAAATGTGATCTTACCGCACTATTTCATCTCTCTCTGATCTGAAGCGGGCAGAATGCTGAGCTAACGAGCTGTAGCTTCGCGTCAGGTGGTTCTTGCCTTCACGTCGTGCATAAAATCGTTCAATGTACAGCAAGCCGTGCATTATCCCTTATGTATTCGCTCTTTAGCAGGAGTTTTTTTACAGCAATATTTAAATGACACCCTGGTCGTTCTTGGTGTACCCAAAATGGTCCCACACTATCGACAGGCATTTCTCTGGTGAAATAAAGCTTTGCTGTTTGGTCCCTCTGTCAGTTCATCTAATGCATGTAGTAGCCTCCGTGCCTCTGATAAGCACGTCATTTTAAGCTGGTGCACCGCTAGTGTAACTTTTTTCGTTTTGCGCAAGCTGCTACAGTTCTGTTCCGTGTAACAAAAACACTTGGTTTAGCGGAACCTTTAATGATTAATTAACCGTGACGTTTTACAGCGCGGTTAATCGCTGCATCCCTACTTTGGAATATAAATCGCAGCACGTTTCAGATGAAAAAAATGTGACTTCTATTTCTGAAAATATCACAGTAAGGAGATTTATGACGAGTGGTTCCCTGCATTATTACAGCGCGTGATTACAGTACTAAGCCGCTGCAATGGAGCAGCTCTAATGCTATTAAATAAAAGATGCTGTACCATAGAGCAAAAAAAAATTACAGTGAAAGTAACAAAAACTCGTAAAATACATTGTAACGGCCATAATTAAGTGTGAAAATAACCGAAGGATATACAGTCAAACCAAAAATGATTCAGAGACCAGATATAATTGTTGATTTTGTTTTTTTACTGTTGGGTGCAGGACACTATAGTTTACATATATACACATTTATGTAAGTGAGGATAGCAAAATAAAGTAAACTGGGACAAATTATACCCAACAATTCTTCATACAGTGGACTACCAGTAAAACTGATACAAATTTGGGACCAAAAATTATTCAGACCAAGTCTGGGAAAACGTTGAAGTTCAGGTTCATATGAAGCTGGATGACAGCACGCCCAGGAGACTACAGACTGTCATTAAGGCTAAGGGTTGCCCGATTAAGTATTGATAGTTGTGTAAATACTGTCTTACTGTCTGAATAATTCTTGGTTGATTGTAATCCATTACATACCTTTCTATCAAAGATATCTAACATTATCAAGATGAATTTGTTCTGACACAGTTTAACTCTGAGTTCTTGTAATATTTTATGACCATTTTCTAAACTATAGTGAATAAACTGTGATATAATGTGAGAAATGTTGAAGGAGTCTGAATAAATTTTGGTTTGACTATCTATTTGATAAATTAATAAATTAAGTTAACCAACTAACATTATACATACTCTTTTGGTTTCTGTACCCAATATTTAGAAAATTTACAAATGCAATAAAAATATTGGTATCGGTACTCGGTATCGGCAAGTACCAAAAATAAAAGTATTGGTATCGGGCGAGTACTGAAGAAGTGGTATCGGTGCATCCCTAATTGTCAGCAATATTATTACAAATACAAAATGTTTTAGAGACATACAAACTGACCTCTGAATTTGAAATACTCATTCCCTGGACAGGCTGAACTCCGCAATTGTCTGTCTCCTTAACTGTAGGTGAGAAACAGAAGTTGTCACTTTTTTGTAAAAATAAATCTGAATATTTTAAGGAAAACTAAATTTGATCCATAAAGACAATGGGACCTTTAAACACACTAATTCAACTCATAAATCAGCATTTGGACAATAACAAAAATCAAATTAACATGGTTCAAAATATTTCAGTCAGACCTGTCAGAGTACCACCATCTTTCACACTATCAGTCTTGACGTCTTCAGCAGTTGGGCAAGATTCACTGGAGCTTTAAAAAAAAAATAAAAAAAGACATGAAGGCAAACTGAAGAAACCGAACAAATGCTAAAGCTACATGTATCATTAAAAAAAAAAGACCATGCATTCATGCAAACAGCAATCTTTCAGTCATATGGCCTTCTTCGGGCATTTAAAAAGATCTACCATTATGTACAATTATTAAATATTAAATGACTTACCCATCTGCATTTAGGTCCCAGACAATCTTGCAACCATTGACAGCAACCCGTCGGAGTATTAGAGGTGGTACACGACGCGCCTGGCTGGTAGGACTTTCAGAGATGTTTTTCATTGGACAGGCCTTGTCTTTCTCACAGAAATGCAAAACAGGACCATTGTCATCACACCCTGGGAGTACCAATTCTGTTCCTTCAACGTCGGTCTGTCTCATACTCTCGAAGTCTAGATTCCTTGCAAGACAAGCATCCCATTCCTTGGCAGATCCATCAGGAGTCTCAGCTGTGTCTGAAACATGCGTGCTGCCCGTAGCTCCAGATGGTGGATCACCTGATGAAAAAGAAGCACAGCTATGGGTTGGTGTGGAAACGTCCCAGGACTGGTTGGCAATCTTACGTCTACACTCCTTGATGCCGTGGAGATGAGGATGCACAAGAAAATCACATTTTTTCCTTAAGCACTGCACTCTTTTGCACTTCCTCTTTTGTCTTAGTACGGCTGGTAAGACACATGAGAAATCACGAGAGGCTATGTCAAACACTCTGGCTACATCGCACAGATTCACCATGGGGTATTTCTCGAAGCGGAAATTCATTGCGGTCGGGGACTCTGAGATATGACCATCATCTTTCTGGCACACAGTCTGGCTGGGGCGGTCAGCTCTAGATCTGTGACTGAGTAAAGGGGCCAGATTCTTACTAGGGGGAGGAGTGTATTTTACGTCACCACACAAAGCACAGCATGAATTTTTCACCAAGCGCTTGCGGTTTTTCCTTGTGTCTGACCTAAGCTGTCGTCTCAGCTCAAGTTTTGAACTGATATCTGCAATCAGAGACAAAGAAGGTAAGAAGGGTGAGAGCAAAATGCAATACTAATATAAAGAGCCTAGCTATAACTATCTCTCAAAACCCTGATAATTCCATTAAACTCCATTAATTAGAGTGATCTTATCTTAAAGGGATTCTTCACCCCAAAATGTTTTTTCATTTACTCATCCTCATGTGTCTAGATATATGCCTTTTTGTTTAGATGAACACAAATGGAGATTTTTAGAAGGAAAATCCATCTCTCTGAGGCTATATAATACAAGTGGATAGTGACCCAAAAGTTGATGCTTCAAAAACAACACCAACCTTGTTCACAATGCTGCTTGTATGATGCCAGAGAATGAATCGATGTCTTTTGAATTGCAACGATAGGCATATGAAAAATGATTGAATACGCTTAATTTTAAACTTAAACTATAAACCATCACTTCTGGCCCATTGATTCACTCATTGGGGTCAGATGGATTACCATTACAATCACATTGTGTGGTTTTTTAAGCATCAAATTTTGGGTTTCAATCCACTTGCATTATATAGATTCACAGACATGGATTTTTTTTTTATTTTTAATGTTCATCTGAAGAAAGTATCAGTGATGGCATAAAGGTAAGGTAAACGATAAGAGAACTTTCATTTATTTGGGTGAAGTATCACTTTAGGAAAGTATATCAATACAATTTTGCAAATGCCCTTAAACTCTTGCTTATCTCTTCTACCTCTTGAAGGGCATGTAGTTACCCCAACAGGTTTTTTGTTGCCAGTGAAACATGAGGTCTGGAAATAAATACCACATAAACATGTTTTCCACTAAATTACCCCCAGTATTAACCCTTATTTGTATGTAACGTTACAGGAACGTCTTGACCCTTACTTGGTGTTTGTCCAGAAATGGCGTGCCTGGCTTTCCTTGCACGGGCTCGCCGAGCATCCGTCTTGATGGTAGTTTTCACCCGTCCATCAGGGCCACCAAAATGATCAATAAACAGTTTCATCGGTCTTCCCCTTCCAGCACGAGGCTTTTCTTGCCCCAAATGATCTGGGCAGCCAGTGTTTTGAGCGTACTTTGGATCTAGTTGGGCAGGTGGAGTTTGTTCCACTGGTTCTCCATAGACCGTGGATTTAATAGAAATATTATCGGACTCAACCGACACGTTACTGTTTATAAACGACAGAGCGTGGCACTGCACTTCTGTAGGCCCGTGTATCACACGCTTCCCGCCATTTCGACGTTTTAAGCACAAAGCTAAACGCAAACGGTAGAAAAACTCTTTTCTATGTTCGGACAACCGTTTCGGCGTCTTTTTGGACGGTGGCTGAGTCCTTGTACAAGTACTCTGAGCTTTAGTTCCTCCCCCTTGACAGTTACTAAAGCCACTGACTGTGGATGGGAAAGTACCTTGATTATAACCCCCTCCGCAGCCGTCATGTTCCGCATGAGCGTCTTGTTTGGAGCTCGCTTGCCCGTCAAATTGGGACGGTGGTTCGCGGTCGGCTGTGGCGCAGATTTCGTTGGCGTGTCGTTCTGGGGAAACGACGTCTGCTGCCTCCGGAGCTGGAGAACTGGCTTGGTCTTGTACCTGTATGCCACGATCGGCAAGTGGATTTAAACCAGACACAGTTTTAGTTCCAGTCCATCTGCGTTTGGTCGGCTCTAATTTGTTACCGAGCTTAAACGAATCCCGCTTCAATTTGATCCTCGAAACGCTGCTGCACGGAAGCATTACTGAAGTCAACTGCGATTAACGATAACAAAAACGTGCATTTGTGTGCTACCTTAACTTGTGTCCCGCATAAATAAACTCAATTTTCCTCAATGCACTGGAAAATAAACATTTTACAGTTTATACGGAGCACAAATTGTTGAGTTAAGAAAAACTGTTAATTAAAATATTCACAAGCGCAAACGCATTTAATGCGTAGGCAGCGCCGCATTGAATCCAACTTGACGTTCGTCAACCGAGATAAAGCTGGTGGAACGTAACACGACTGTATAACATGCAAGAAACCTTTTTTTTCTTTTCTTTTTTTTTTAAAGACAGTAATGAAACATGAGCTCCGCAATACCTGTCCGTGCCACTGAGCGATTATTACAAAAAGAAGATTAAAAAAAAACTCCCACTTCCAATTTCGACGTAAGACATGCGCAATTGATTTGTGAGTGTTCGATGAATACCGCCGCCGCGTGGTTTAGTGTTTGGGCAAAGTGGCAAACCATAAAAACAAATAAACCTTTTTACATTTCCGAAACATGCACGTGGCTAAATTAACTAAAATGAATTAATTTTGTAATCAGTGCCAAGAAATATTCTCAATTAAAGGCCAGGCTTGGGCATTCAAATATGATGCTACAACAAACATATAGGCAACAACACACACCAATGGGGCACAAAACAGCCCAAACCTCCTTAAAAGTAGAACTAACTACTAAATTTATAAGTACAATTTTAATTTTATGTGTGAATTTAGCAATAAACATTGTATTTTTTTTCTAACAATACACAAAACTTACTTTTCAGCAAAAAAAACATTATATTTTGTTACTATTTCACTACTGTACTATTTTTACTATTACTATTTTTCATGTGTTGTAACAGCAGTGGTCCCGACAGACAGTTTATCTGATTTTTGTAACACATTCTTGTGTAGAAACACCCATGTTCACGCAAGAGCATAGGCCTAGTGGAAATATATGTAGTATGCTATTTGCATTTTTGATTGCTGTGTATGTCTGTATTTCTCTGTCCCTGTGTTTTTTTAACAGGGCTGCCATCATTGAGCGCATTCCAGCTGGAGTCACGGGAACATTTGAGTTTATTATGATTATTATTATTTGATTATGCATTTATTTTATCTTATGCATTTTCTAAACATGCATTTTCTAAACATGCAAAAAAACTTTTTAAAATAAATGCGTAATTATGCATAGATAAAATAAATGCATAACTACTGATGAGTGGACTGAGGTGTAACTTCATCTCGTTGCTCATCACTTAGTCTGCCAATAAAATAAGAACATCATCAAGGCATCATTAATAATAACAAAGTACACATGTGCATAAACAAACCACCTTCTCTCTCCTTTTAACTCTCACCTGCAAACACCTCGACTTTACACAGAGTGAGTTTTTCCTGTTCCCAGGTAGAAAAATGTTGACATATCTCCCTTTAACAGGCTTAAAATCAAATATTTTTGTGCCTCCAGATGGAATGAGCCAAACAGTTGCAGCAGAAAAAGAAAAAGTCATAGTAATCAAAAAGGCTAAATTAAACATTCAAATTTGCATTCAAATGCAAATTTGAATGTTTAAATTTAGCCTTTTTTTGTGTAAAGTCGAGGTGTTTGCAGGTGAGAGTTAAAAGGAGAGAGAAGGTGGTTTGTTTATGCACATGTGTACTGTGTTATTATTAATGATGCCTTGATGATGTTCTTATTTTATTGGCAGACTAAGTGATGAGCAACGAGATGAAGTTACACCTCAGTCCACTCATCCCTGAACCAAAAAAACGAACACCAAAAAAAATCACGGTAAGTGCACTGTATTTTTCTTAAAGTGAAAACTTTATACAATATATCTAGCATTTCCTTAGTTGTGGCACTAAACAGGTTTTACATGTTGTTAGAGTAACATGCAATGAGGTTGCATGTTTCTTTTTATTTATTTTTTATTTCTGTTTGCCTGTTTTAACTGCAGTTAACTGGCCTAATATAGTGCAAGCAAGGCTAAAAAACCAAATGTTGTGAATTTCATTAGATGAGAATAGAATGTCCTTTGAGAATAATTTAGGGTGCTAAAACTGTTGTAAAAGTATAGTTAGGAAAGTGAAGAAGTTTTTACTTTACTTTCACTTTCTTAGGGATCTGCCATTGGTTTATTACCTGTAAAAAAGTTTCATGAGAACTGGTTAAATAGTATAACAAGTGTGGGGCATTGATTGAAATGCTCAAGATTCCATTAGTTGCTTTTATTTGAGCTGGCTCAAATTGTAGATCGTACTTGATGCACACACAAAGTCTACATATCAAATATATCAGTCAAGGCCATCACTGCTCTTAGGGCTCAACTCCCATTCAAATGGCAGTCGAATCCTTCACAAGTCCCTGACGTCTCTCCACCACTTGGTCACCTTTGATATCAGTAAACATAGCCATGGTGGCCCAGTTTAGGGAGGTTGATTCATATTTCAACATTTAGCAGAGGAAGTCTGCTCCACCCTTTCTTTAGAAGAAAGTTTGAAATATGAGACTGAAATCAACAATCCTTGGGATCACAAGCTGGTTCCTGAAGGCTATAGACAAAGATTCTGATTATTTGTGTATCCGATTGGAATCTGATCTGTTCACGTAACTGTTTATTCAGCTCCAAATCTTAAATCCAGATCTAATATTTTTTGTCTATCAATTCAGAATGGTATAAAAATAAAACTTTACAATTGAACTTTGTTTATTTCTCCCATAAACACAATTTCCTCTGATGAATAACTTTCCAAAATGCTCTCGAGTCTCTTTCCTGTCCAAAATGTTGTTTCTTACATTGCCTACACTGTAAAATCCAGTGTACCATCCAGTATCCAGTTACTTAGATATAATTAGTTATCTGTACTTAGTTGTTATACTTACTAGGTTTTCTTAAGTTACAGCTACTTGACTTTCAAGGCAAATAAAACCATTTACTTACTGTTTTTGAGTGACACTTACTTAAAATATTTGAGTAGCCACAAAGGAACCAATGACATTAATAAACCAGTGAGAGGCAGCAGTGCACTAATATGTTGCTAATGTGCAACATAACAACAGAAGAAGAAGAAAATAAAGACTTTTAGAGTCTTAATAGACCCATTTCCTCCATGTTTGCAGTTATCTTTCACTAGTTGCATTCACTCGTTAACCAAAGTCATCTTGAATGTTGAATTTTCAATACAACTGAAATATTTGAGAGAACATCACATAAGCTAACTTCATAAATTGATGTTGATTTTCCTAAAATGTGTTAAAAAAATTACCATTATAGTGATTAGCGTTCCCTTTGGTTGGGCACTTGGAACTTCTTTATTACTAAAATTACGTTCTGTTACTGCAGCAGTGCACTATGAAGTCAGAGTTATTTGATTTAAAGGGTAGAAAAGCAATAAATGGATTGTATATAGAAGGTGACATGTCTTCTAATTAAAGCAGTAGTGTGCTTTAATGTGTGTGTTAATAAATAATCACATCAAAATCCATGTTTCATTAATTTCTTGAGATATTTTTAATTGGGTTTATATAATCCTTTAGTAGTTTGAGATAATATGCTGAAGTCACACACAGACTTAAACATCCAGCACGTGAATCACAACAATGGTAACAATTCAATTTAATTTATTTTCATTAATTGTAACAATAACCATTTTATTTGCTCTTTTTGTTGTGCTACTACTGACACAAGACAGCAAATAAATTTGGCAAATAATATCAACAACTGTAAAACAAAGCAACTGCATAATTTATTCATGCCGCAATGCACTGGGAGTCAGTGAGTAGCTATACCAAGTCATGAGTAAACCTCAATTAAAGGATCAAGTACCCCCTACAGTTATTTTTTAGTTACTAGAACTCTTGTGTAAGTAAACTATACTAACTAAGCATCTGTCAGTACAACATACTATTCCTATTTCACTTTACTTAGTTTTTTCAAGGCAATCGGTTTGCATGCTTTTTTTTAAGTAAGCCCAACTAATTAGATTTTACAGTGCAGCCTCCCTACCTGGGCAGAATTTCCACGAATGAGCTTTCCTTCCACATCTTGTGAATTTACTCAGTTAATTTGATGAGAATAGAATAGCCTTGGAGTATAATTTACCTTGCTACAAATGCTAGTGTTCATTTTTGTGCGTGGTGTTTTGGGCAAATGAAGGATGCTGCTTGTAAAAACAAATGTTGCACAGTTCTTCTCTTACTTTGCAGCATCTAAATAAAAAAAAAGTATATTTGCCTACTAGTTTAGCTCAATGATCTTAACAGAAAATGTTTCTGATTTTTGTAACAAATTCTTTACATTTACAAACATGCATGTTGGTTATGTTTGTTTGTTGGGATGTCAAACCCCTTACTCAGGCCACATACCTGTTAACTGCTGACATCAACACCTCCGTACCACCAATCCCTGCATGCCAGCATCCATAAAACCAGGATGCCAGAACACCAGTGGGAGCTTTTGATTTTGCTCATCCACTCTTTCATGTAATCCATCATCATATTACGGTTCTACTAGTCTGTAGACACACCAGGTAAGGGGTGAGTGCCACACTCCGTGCTTTAGTTTTGTCTAGAGAGTGTCGTTTAGACGTCAAAGACATTTCTTTTCATTCTCTTTGATTTGTTTCAGTCAGTATAGAAGTGTAAATGTTAGTTAGGCTGTTTGGTTTTGATTTCTTTTAGTTGTCGCCCTTCTCCCTTGCTTGTGTGTTGATATTCATTGTAAATATTGTACATATTCCTTTTACATCCTTTACCTTTTTTGTACTGCCCATACCACCTTGTGTAAATATTGTATCGACATGTTTTACTTATTTTGCCCCACATCTTAGTTTGTTGTCTTGCCTTATGTATATAAATATAGTTAATGCTGCATCTCCTAGCCTCTCCACCTGAGGTCATAACATAACATGGGGGCTTGTCCGGGATATTATAAAAAAAAATAAAATAAAAAATTTGGTGGCATTGTGCTTAGATAGTGCAAAGATGTTTATTGCTGGCCAGGACAATCATGGTCTTGTTTGAGTTGCAAGCATTTATTAATAATCCAATCTAGATCTGAGAAATGCATGAAGGATGACTTGATCGTTATTGCAAGTCATTTCCAAATTCCTATTCTGAAGCAGGCTCTCAAGAGGGAAATTAAGACTATTATTTTGAGTCTTTAGAAAAGGATACATGTTTTGGTGTCTGGGTGCTGATCGTGACGTGGGCATACGCCCTCTAGGTGCTGGCACTGAAATTGAGGATGATATTGCGGCAGATAATATTGTGACAGATTGCCAAGAGGTCCTCACTCACAGATTGAGCTGGAGCCAGTGAAGGCTGCAGACGTTTTGAGAAGGGTGTTCGTTCCTGCACAACCGGAGGCTGCAGTTTCAGGACCGCAGTTCTAGGACCC